AATTTTCATTCTCATTGTAAACTTTTTTTCTAACTGCAAAACATTTGTTTGATATCAAGGAGGCTCACATAAGCACCAGTGATGAGTTTATTCTTTTAAGGCCTGAAACTATGTTGAGTAATTGGCGGATCACGTCAAGAAAAAATCATATGCAGGGGCATGTCACATGAAGACCTTAAGCACGAACATGTTGCTTCTCCTAGTTAATGCTTTCCCAACTTGTTTACTCTTTTGGGGAAAAATTTGAAGACTTTGATGTGCCAACTACAGTCAATCCGGGGCAATCACGTCGAGATTTGATGAATCTCTCTAAGAGTTTGAAGACACCAGAGCATGGTGAATGCCAAGTCTTTTGTAAAATCCTCTTGAGACGATTTCTCCTCATCAAACAGATAGCTTGGGGCATGTTAGAAGTGAAACTATTCGCAAGAATTGTCGTGCAACATGCAGCTCATCAGCAGTAAACTTGGGGCATCCAAAATTAATCCCAGGGGCAATCCAGATTTGTCAAGATATGTTTTTCATACATTATCAGAAGGTGGTGTTCCCAGTATCTCCAGCTAAGCAAGACTTCTTTCCAGCTGAAACTTTGTTTGTGTTGTTATCCTTTCAACAGATTGTTTGCAATAGAAGACTAGACTTTGGGTTTTCTACCTGAAAATATCTTCCTCTCCAGAGATATTTAAGCCTTGTAAAAGGACTTTACTCCAATGATGGCTTCTTTTGTTCTATCTCCAGTAATGTTCCCATCTGGTTGAGATTAGCTGAGCGTCGGGTTGTACTGGGACGTCTTATCATATTCTGTCTATCTCCCCTGTCTGTTTTGTCAACATATACATGACATTCATTCATTCGTTCATACTTGCATCATGCACGCACATTTGTATTTGTTGATATCTTTGAGTTCGTATACCTTGGTTATGTCTATTCAAATAGCGTATTTGATCTTTCCAAATAGAGTGTCAACTTAAGCAGAAAGTGCGCCTCTTTTCTAATTCCCCACTGAGTTAACTCTCGTGGAAGAATCTTGCTTTAGCTTTCCTTTTCCATCTCTGGATAGGATAAATCCCCATTTGAGTTGTTTCCTCATTTGGTGGAGTCTTGTTTGACTATTTTCTCTCCAGTTTATTCCTGGATTGAGCTTTGTCTCTTGTGAATGATACCCTGTGGATATCTCTAGGCTGTGAAACCCAGATGGAGAGTGCATTTATTTTGCAACGTAAATACTTGGTCTCCTCAAGAAGGATTTATTCATGGTTCCCCATTGAAGATGAACTTTATTCCCCAGCAGTGTTATCACAACCTTCTTCTGGAATATCGACATGACAACAAGCGACTGACTCTTTATTTGAGCAGTTTGATTATTTCTGATTTCTCTATGACAAATGGCGGTCTCTTCATGAGGAGTTTGTCCATCCTCGATGAAATTATTGATTCTCACCTCCAGCAATATCTTCATGATATTTTATGGGTATCTTTGAGAAAACAGCAAGCGGCAGTCTCTTCATGGACAACTTGTATGTTATCAACACTTTCAAAAACAGCAAGCGGCAGTCTCTTCATGGAAAACTTGTATGTTATCAACACTTTCAAAAAACAGCAAGCGGCAGTCTCTTCATGGACAACTTGTATATTATCAACACTTTCAAAAACAGCAAGCGGCAATCTCTTCATGGACAACTTGTATGTTATCAACACTTTCAAAAACAGCAAGCGGCAGTCTCTTCATGGACAACTTGTATGTTATCAACACTTTCAAAAACAGCAAGCGGTAGTCTCTTCATGGACAACTTGTATGTTATCAACACTTTCAAAAACAGCAAGCGGCAGTCTCTTCATGGACAACTTGTATGTTATCAACACTTTTAAAAACAGCAAGCGACAGTCTCTTCATGGACAACTTGTATGTTATCAACACTTTTTGAAAACGACAAGTGACAGCTTCTTCATGAGCAGCTTGTACAGAAAACGGCAAGTGGCAGCTTCTTCATGAGCAGTTTGTACGTTAGTATTATTTGGAAGACAGCAAGTGGCAGCTCTTCATGAGCAGCTTGTGGGTTATAAATAGCAAGCGGCGGCCTCTTCATGAGTAGCTTGTGTGCTTTAATATTCTTTGAAGATGACAAGTGGCAGCTTTTCATGAGCAGCTTGTGGGTTATAAGCAACAAGTGGTGGACTCTTCATGAGTAGCTTGTGTGCTTTAATATTCTTTGAAGATGGCAAGTGGCAGCTCTTCATGAGCAGCTTGTGGGTTATTGGCAACAAGCGGCGGCCTCTTCATGAGTAGCTTGTGTGCTTTAATATTCTTTGAAGATGACAAGTGGCAGCTTTTCATGAGCAGCTTGTGGGTTATAAGCAACAAGTGGAGAACTCTTCATGAGTAGCTTGTGTGCTTTAATATTCTTTGAAGATGGCAAGTGGCAGCTCTTCATGAGCAGCTTGTGGGTTATTGGCAACAAGTGGCAGACTCTTCATGAGCAGCTTGTGTGCTTTGATATTCTTTGAAGACAGCAAGTGGCAGCTTCTTTATGAGCAGCTTGTGGGTTTTTGGCAACAAGTGGCGGACTCTTCATGAGCAGCTTGTGTGCTTTAATATTCTTTGAAGACAGCAAGCGGCGGTCTCTTCATGAGCAACTTGTATGTTATTATCACCTTTGAAATACAACAAGCGGCAGTCTCTTCATGAGCAACTTGTGTGTTATTGTTCCCTTAAAAACAGCAAGCGGCGGTCTCTTCATGAGCAACTTGTATGTTATTGATATATTTGAAAAAACAGCAAGCGGCGGTCTCTTCATGAGCAACTTGTATGTTATTGATATCTTTGAAAAAATAGCAAGCGGCGGTCTCTTCATGAGCAGCTTGTATGTTATTGACACCTTTGAAAGGAAGCAAGTGGCGGCCTCTTTATTTGAGCAACTTGTGTATCCCCAACAATAATGTCTACTCAGCAAATGGCATCCCTTTCGGAAAAGTCCCGTGGGGAAGTTTGTTATTTTATCCTTTTCAAGCGATATCTTGGTTAAAGAAGAAATGTTACCGTTCTTGGTAAAATTCAGAAATCAGAGATGTTTATCTCCAGCCACAGTGCTGATGTCAATCATTTTGTTTTCCAGCCACAGTGCTGATGTCAATCAATTCTTTTCCAGTCTAAATACTGATGTAAACCATTTCTTTTCCAGTCTCAATACTGATGTAAATCATTTCTTTTTCCAGTCTTCGTACTGATGTAAATCATTTGTTTTTCCAGCCACAGTGCTGATGTAAATCATTTCTTTTCCAGTCTCAACACTGATGTAAATCATTCAAGAGTCTCTCATTTGAAGTCTATGACTTTGTTTCCCCAGTGGAGGTACAACCTCTTCCTCTGTGGGATTACTGTATAATGTGCTTGGTTTCTCCAGCATAGTCAGTCTCATATTGCGTCATTCCCCATAAAATTCAGAGCATTACATTCATATCATATCATGAACATAATCGCGGTATCTTAAGGCCAAAAATTGGGTATTCTATATTTAAGTCCCTTCAATCTCGTCGAAATGAAGATCCCAATCTTCATATCTCCAGATAGAAGAAACTTAAATAGGGGCAGCTGTTGTACCCCAATTTTTGACCTAAGATCCCATTTTTATTTTTGCATAAGTCAAGGTCACAAAATACGGTCAGTTTTAACCTCTCACCTTCGAGCTTTGACTATGCGAAGATTGTCAAGTGTTTTGAATATTTTTAGCATATGTATCACTAATTTCTAATCGCATACAAAGGTGTATGTTCATGTTTTCTTTTGTGTCATGTGCAGAGACAGGTCTGAATCAAGAGCATCAGGTGTCGCGCCTCAATTAAAGTTTTGAGTCTCCCAAGCCCGAAGTACGGTTGATTATGGATTCTCGAAGACTGATTCATCAAGGCACAACTGTTGCACCCTAAGTTTCGCCCCTAATTTTTTCAGTCGCACATTCATACCATATTTTGTTATTTGGTCACGATCATTAGTAAATATCTTCATTCATCACATTTTTCATCATTAGTCGTATTTAAGTTGATCAGAAAAAGTCAGTTTAAATCAAAGTTTGCATCGTCTTTCAGTTGTAAAATACCCGGCATTTTGCTTCATGCATTTTTATCTATTTACTCGTTTGTTGCATTGCTCCAAGTTGTTTATATGTCAATAATAAAAATATTTTGGTTTTATAGACAGACTGTTAAAAGCGATTCGACACTATGCGGGAAATTAGCGAGAAAATATTTCAAGTTTTCACCTTTTACCGATCATTTTATGAATCTGCGTTTCACGTAGATTATGACGGTATGCTCGCTTTATTTTTTCAGTACAGTTCGAAGTCTCGTTTTTAGCCTTAAACGTCTGTTTAGTCTGATATTTTTATTATTATTTTATTTTTGATTTTTTGACTTCTTGAATATTTTTTCTTTAATCTTCGTGACATGTAGTTTATTTTAATGTGTTCATTTTATTTTATCGGATAAATTTTCGTCCGTTTTTTATCATTTTCGGTCATTTTGTGTCTTTATTTTTAATTCAGAAAAATTCAAAAAAAATTATTTTAAATTGAGTTATTTTTTATACTTTCAGGTTTTATTTTATTTTTGTCATTCAGGGGCTTTTTGGTCACAAAAAATTATTGATTATACTATACTCTATTCCTATTGGTTGTTGGATGAAATTGAGGATCGATACAAAATTGCCAAAACAAAATTGAAGTTTTGAACGGATGTGATTAAATTTCAGATTATATTTTTCTTTTTCACTTTCTATATAAAGCCTCTTATTATCTTTGCAAAAAAGGGAGGAGAATACACATACAGTAGGTAGCTTTCTGCCTCATTTTCTCATGCCATTCATTTACTACCCAGACTTCACTTTGTTTCCTTTTCCTCACACACTAAAACAACACTTACAGTAACACTAACCCATTTTTCTTCATCCCTTCCCACACCCTTAATGTTTCTCTCTCCACGAATCCTTCTTCCGCTGATAGACACCAATGGGGAGTACGGCGGCGGCGGAGAAGACCGAACAAGAGCTACGCCGCGAGATCGACGAGCTTCTTCGCCAACAGCGCGAGATAACCGAGAGGCTTCGAGATCCTCGTGGCCTTCGCAAGGGTTCCTTACCAGCTCCTGTTCTATGCAACAATGCTATTCGTCAACGTTCCTTTCTTCGTCCTGGCGTAGATAATAATGATTCTGAAGATCAACCTCCTGCTAAACGTAGACTTTCATCTGCTATTGTTAAGCTTGAGGAAGGGGAGTTGGTTGAAGATGTTGATGCTGTGAACACAAAGGATTCAACCTACAAAAGTGAAAATGGGAATGCTACCGCTGGTCAGAATGATGTGAACCGTTTTAATTCTCACCAAAGTGGATTGTCTAGAAGAGATGGCTATCAGAGAAATTCAAAGGCTTTTGAGATTCCTACTTCAGAACATGTTCCGAGGGTGTTGCCTAAGAATGAAGACCCAAGCTTGGTTAATAGGAACAAAAGAATGCTGGGTCAACTTTTGGGAACTCTGGAGAAATTCAGAAAAGAAGACAAGCAGCTCTCAGGAACTGAGGCATATATGCGAAGATCTAATTCGTTGCAAAGAGCTGAGCAAAGAGCACGGGAAGAAAGTGAAAGGCTTAGGAAAGAAGAGCGTGAACAGATTGCTGAAAAACGGAGGCGGGACTTGACACTTAGGGCACGTGTGGCTGCTAAGACAGAAGAAAAGAAATTGGAGTTACTCTTTCTTCGGTGGAGTGAGCATCATAAAAGACTAAGCAATTTTATAAGGACTAAAGCAGAGCCTCCAATCTACTATATGCCTAACATGCCGTTGGATGAAGATGCTGCATCAGCTGAGAAACGCATAGATGAGGATTTCCTTGAATGGAAGAATGCAAAAAGAGAGTAATTGTCTGAGTATCAAAAACAAATTGGGGACCAGTATCTTGCCAATGTTGAGAAGGACTTGGAGAGATGGCAGAATGCCAGAAATGCAAGGAAAGTAAACAGTAATGACAAGAATTTACAAGAAACTATGAACAAAGGAATTGAAAATGGTGAGTATCTGTGTGTGGAAAGTGATTTGGAAGGAAAGAAGATTAGTAATGTTAGTAAAGGCGAAAGTTTTTTAATTTCGAAGATTTGGTTGTGGCCAAGGAAGGGAAAATTTTCTTCAAGTTCTTTAGAAGCACATAATGGAATGGCATTACCATCTTATCTATTCCGCGATTTCCAGCACCATTAATTTCTAGTTTCGGCTTTTCGGTATGTTTCGATCTCTTTGCTAATTGTGTTTGTTCAAGTTAAATGATTTTGATTTTTCCCTTGTCTGCGGAGATGACTATGCTAGATAGTGTTGATGTCATTATGCTCAATGTGAAATTAATTGATAATGAATTTGTGTTGATAACATATTTTAGATGTTAAATTTATGAGAAGCTTGAAATGTTTTTAGTATGTTGTTTTTTCAATATGTGAATTCAAATATCTTCTCATAAATTGACACAAATTATGAGCTGGATTGATGATTGTAAAATATAGAAGCCGATAAAATTTTGAAAGAAGAATGAAGAAGTTTTCTTTGGATTTGGTCTGTTAATATGTTTTCTACTGGTTCATGTTCATAACATTTTTCATGCTTTGCCATATACTACTTTTCATGGATTATTTGTTTTCATGTGATTTTGAAAAGTCACGAGATGTTCAATTGTATTTTATTTTTACTATTAAAGAAAATGGGGTGGTTTGATTTTGTTTGTTTTTTCTTATCTTCCTTTCTAAATTAATTTTTATTATTTATAGTCTAGTTAATTTATTCTCTCATAGATAAGTCTCTAAAATTTTAAATATTTAGTTTATTATTCAATTAGTTTATATTAATTTTTAGTTTATCAAAGTGGTTCTATTGTACATAATGTGTATGCATATGAATCATTTCTAACTTCTTGTATATAAGATGTAAATTGCAATGTGAATCTCAAATGAATTTATGACCATGTTCAACATTGTATTTACTTGAGTTTAAATGTGTTTAGAACATTGAATGCCATGTTGATTTTTGTTGGGTACTTTGAGTAATCATCATTTATTTGGTTCATGTTTTGAATTCAATTTCTCATGTTGCAAAGTGAGCTTTGGATATTTGTTTTCCGTTGTGCTTGAAATAGCGGTTGCTTTTGATACATTTGAAATAATATGCACGATGTTGATTTTTTGTGTTTACATGGAATAATGTCATGAATTCTTGATTTTATTTGTGTAAATATTCATGTGCATTCATACAATTTCATTTCATTTCTTTATTTTGTGATTTCTAACAAAGTTTTTAATTGTTGCGATTTCATTCATTTTAATTTTTATATACCGCTTATGCTACTAACGAGTTTGCTTATTGTGAAGGTTTTTGAAAATCGTTTCAAGTATCCATTCTCACATAGCGCATCAATAACTCTTACACTTCTCCCTTTTACCTTTTTATTTTATTTTACTATTCTGATTTAATATTTGGTACTGTAAATATATACTTGTACATAATATTTTGACTGTATATTTTACTTGTAAATAAATTCAGGTTTTAAAAATATTATTTTCATCGCATTGTGATTTTATTTCCAATTCCAACTAACTTCCGAAAATTGTGCGGACGCACATAAGTTTCCCATGCTGTTAGATTTCGTCGATATATCTCTTGTGATGTAGGGATTCTTATCTGACACCGTGAGCGTTATCCACCGCCTTTGCGCTTTATCTGATGCTTGGAGTATTATCTCACATTAAGATTTTTTGATGATGCTGTCGGCTTGTGATTTATTTTCACCTAAGGTTTGGTATATTCTTAGCTTACTTATCTGTCTGTGGCTTTTAATCCAAGGGAAAGTATTAATTTGTTAACTTCATGTCATCAAACATCTTCTACAATCGTGCGAATAGCCTCATTCATTTTTTGCTTGTTTACTATTTTTCCAAACTTAAGATAATTTTCCCAAAAGACTCCATTTTCAAACTCACACCTTTTAAGTCCAAACTTCGACATTAGGTCGTCGTATCTTCAAAAATCTCGTCCATACCCATCTTTTAGCCAAACGAATCATTTTTAATCAAACAAATTTTTTTAACCAAAAACAGATATTTCAAAAGGTTCCTGCGGAGTACCGCAGATGCATTGGGTGCTAGTACCTTCCCATTGTATAACCAACCCCCGAACTCTCGATCTATTTTAAAAACGCATTGTATTTTCATTACTTTTAAATATTAATTTACATTGTATACTTTAGGGTTTTATTTCGCTCTTTTCCCCTTTTCCTTGGAAATAATAAAGCGCGGTGGCGACTCTTGCTTTTGCGAGTCAAGTTAATTAATAGCTTGATCTCCGATTTTCACCGCTACAGAATTGGCGACTCTACTGGGGACAGATTAACCTCTTGCTGGTCCATCCCTAATTGGGTTAAGCCTAATTTGTTTTATCTGTTTTATCATTATTTGATTGTTTGATTATATGTATATATTATGATTATTTGGGTGCTGATAATATTTACAAAGGACAAGTCCTATACCCGGACTAAGTTACACTTAGGAATAGGACGGGCGGTATAGTCATGTTAACTTTGAGGGAGTAATCCCGAAGAAGGAGGCATGAGATCCCCCACTCAGTGGAAGGATTAAACTGTTAGTACATACCTTGGGGGTGTTCCTTACCTTGACTCCATGCTCGTGACGTTGAACCTTTCAACTTTATTTGTGACCTTGCTTGTGGTTGTTGCATAGCCATGCATTCATGCATCCATAAAACCCTTTTCACTTGACTTTGAAGGAATTTGGAGGTCTTTCTTTGTAAACATCACAAGTTTCGTCAAGCTCAGTGGATCTTGGGTGTTGATAGGGCGAAAACCCTAATCCACCAAAATGGATGATTGATCTTGATGATAACTTGATCAATGTTTGGAGCCAATTTAAAATTCATCTTCTATCTTCATACTTTGATGTTTACAACTTAATATCTTGAGTTCCTTGAAAATCAAATAAAAACTCTCTTTTGCATATCATACATCATTCTACATTTTTTTGTTTCACTGTCAAAGGTCTTTTTCCGAGTCTTATTTTTCCTTTGGTCTCACCAGTACAACACTCGCGCTAAGGAAACAATGGAGAATATCAAGCAAGAGGTTTCTGAACTCCGTAGAGAGATGACTATTTTGAAAGCTGGTATGGATCACTCGACTGTTTTGGGTTGAAATTTTGGTTACCGCCCAAGTCAATCCTTCTAGGAGGGAGGAAGCGATGACAAAAGTATTCACTAAAACTCTAAAATCATTCTCTCATGAGAAGGTGATGGTTAATGCACCTAATGACTTTCCTGACAAGGTGAATGTGGGAGTGCGTCTAGAAGAAGATGTTGGGAAGGGATGTTCATATGAAGATGGTAGCTCAACTAATGGTGTGAAGAAAGTTTGATAATAACTTTTCCAAGAAGAGAACCAGAGGAAGAAATAATCATTGTCAGAATCATCATGTTTCTCCTATTCATCAACAGAATCAACAGGCACTTCACAATCATCTTCACCTTCGTCTTCGGCTAAGTTGATCGAACTTTAGAAGTCATAACTGGCAATAGCAAAGTCGTTACCAGTGAGATCCAGAGTGGATGTAGACCTGTATATGTGAGTGTGTGTAAAATTGCTGTTTTGCAATATATAACAAAAGAAAAACAAGGAGCGCAAAATTTGAAATGCAAGAAACGTCCAATGCTTTTATTGATGATATATGTAGATGACACACATAAAGCCCTCACAAATGAAGCCACGGTGCCCCGGGTAAGAACACCGGGCCATAAAGTTTAAAAACATTGTTTGTTACAAATTCAAAACAAAAAGTTTCATTACTGGGTAACAAAAGAAATAGGGATGAAGTCCTTTGCTGTCCAGTTGCTTAGTCCACCATCAGTAGTGGGATAGATCCAATTGTCGAACTCAGACCCTTCAATATCATCTTCAATGGAATTCACTCCCGAATTGCTGATGAACAGGGGAGGTCTTCCGATCCGTGCATTCTGAATAGCCCTTTGAGCTTCTTCAGTGAAACCCAAACCAAACTTGTTAGTCTTCTGTGCAAAATCATGGAGTTGGCCCCAATTTTCACACCCACCTTTCTCAACAACAGCTCGAGCATCCTTGAAGGAAGCCATCTTCATAGGAGGATCTTCAACAACAGTCTCAATTAACGCCAACATCTGGGGAACCTCTTCAAAATGTTAGAACGGGGTCTCAACGAACTCCCTATCCATCTCTACATATCAGAAAGAGTTGAGGTGGCTCACCATATACTCCTCCTCTCCTTGCACTGTCACAATTTTCCCTTTCACTGGGTACTTTAGCTTCTGGTGGAGCGTAGACGTCACTGCCCCAGCTTTGTGGATCCATGGGCGACCCAGCAAACAAGAATAGGATGGCCGAATGTCCATCACATAGAATGTAGATGCAAAAACCTGAGAACCAACCTTAATCGGAATATCCACTTCTCCGTGCACCATCCTCTTAGACCCGTCAAAGGCCCTGACGACAATGTTGCTTGGTTTCAGCTCCAACCCTTCACAGTCCAACCGATCTAGAGATTTCTTAGGCAAAACATTCAATGAGGAACCAGTATCCACCAATACATGAGCAAGAGTAGTGCCCCTGCATTCAATGGAGACATGCAGGGCATCGTTGTGATTCTTCCCCTTAACAGTCAAATCAGCGTCAGAGAAACCCAACCCATTATCAGCAGTCATACTAGCCACGCAATCTTTAAACTGATAAGCTGATGTTTCTTGTGGTATGTGTGCAGTCTTCAGGAAAGCAATCAGAGCCTTGGCATGGGCCTCTGAGCATAGCAACAGTGACAACATGGAGATTTTGGATGGGGTTTGCCCCA